AAAACATCCACTCACACTAAGCACATTCATGAGTTGGGTAGACAATGTAGGGGCCATGGAAGAGTGGCAACCCAGGGTGCCCAGCCTTCTCAACGTGGCCCTCTCATGCAGTGGTCCCCAAACTTGGGCCTGTGCCAGGGTCACCTGGAGGACTTGGGAAGGCCAAGAGCCCGGAGTTTCATACAGCACATGGATGGGGCTTGCATTTCTGGGTTGCCTGGTGATTCTGACATTGCCGGTCCAGAGACCCCACTTTGATGGTGCTACCCTAACCTGCCTGTCTCTGCTCCTCATCTGTGGCTCCCTCTGGTTGCACAGAGTTCCCAAATCTGACCCCTCTATGCCACAGAACTCTGCAGCTGCTACCTGCAAACTCCCTGAATAGATCAATCCTGGACCCTCCATTTTACAATGGAGGCCTTTTTAGAGGGCACTTGGGATTTTAAATATATACTAGGTGATTTTGTTTGTTTCGCAGTGGAATACTCCCTCGCCTTCCAGTTGCCGCTGGCTCTCAGTTGTGGCCTCTTACCTGAGGCCGAGAAGCCAGACTCCCCATTCACTCCTCTCCAGGCTCAGCGTGGGTAAGGTGAGTTCCCAGTGGACCCAAACCAGGGCTGAGGCCTGTGGCCCTCATAGAGCTCTGGCCTACACAAAGCAAGCTTCTCTGCCTTAGGGCTGGGGCTAATCTGCATCAAATTCTGGGTGGGGTTGGGAGTGGAGCCTGGGGGCTGGGTTTTTGGGCCTCAGCTGTGGCTCCAAATTGCTCTGCGGCCTTGTGCCTGGTCTGGGTTTCAGCAGGAGCTGCCATCAAACAAATGGGCTCTGATGCATTAAGCACATCAGTGGGGAGGCGGAAATGGGCCTTCTCTGTCTTTTCTCACCTAATATGAGCTTGGGCGGCTGTGGAGGCTGCCTGGATGAGCAGGACTGAAACAAATTCCCAGATTCCATCCCTTTGGGGGCAGCTGGGCAAGATGGGGTAGAGCCTTCGCTCTTAATAAAGATTGGAAGATGACTTGTCCCCTCCCACTGGGTCAGTTAATCCAACTCCATGCTGGAGATTAGCATTTCTAATGGGTTGGGAGGTGCAGCTTTCAGTGGTGGGATGAGAGATGACAGATATTGGGGCCCTTAGGGAACTAAAGAGAGGCAGCCGCTTTGTTTGGCCTCTGTTGAATAGAGGTTGTTTTTCTTCAAATAAGAAGCTCATTTTATCTCTCCACTGTGTCCTTGGAGTGGGGGCTCCTGCTCTAAAACTGGGGTAGAGCGATATATTATATAAATTTATGGTAATAAAAAAAAAATCTGAGGTAAAGGACGACCCTCACAGCCAAAATGCCTCCAACTCCAGTGGCCAAATATCTGATGGCCAAAGAGAATGACATGAATCTGGGATTCACCTAGGTATTTCTTTCAAAGGTTTGGTTGGCTCATTCATTCATTCATTCAACCATCCATACTCACTCATTCTGACCTTGCTATGTGCCAGGCACTGACCTGTGGACACAGATGGAAAAATGGTATCCTATGCTTAAGAGGTCCACAATTTAGTGAAAGAGACAATCAATGGCATAGGCCAACCCCCATGAGAGATATGAAATAGGTGTTCTGGGGGCATAGGAAAGGGATCTAAATCAACTGTATAGCAGGATCTGTGTGTGTCTGTGCACACGTGCAAGCAGCATCAGGAATCAGGGAAGACCTCCCGAGACAGCGTTATCTGAGCTGATTGTTAATGATATATGACTTGGAACCAAGGCCACCCCTGCCTTCAAGGAGCCAGGAGGGATGGTGTGAAAGGAGAAATTGTTAGAAGCTAGGTTCAGGACGGAAAGGGGAAAGAACTTGGAAGCAGGTGTTACAGGCCTGGTTGTGAGCATCAGCTCCAGCGATTATGAATTGTCAGCAGAAGAGTGGTAATAGGAGATGGGGAGGGGGTGTTCCAAGCAGATTCACCTTTGGGCCATAATTTATTTTTTTAAAGATTTATTTATGCATACAAGAACTGGGGTACAGGCCAGAGGTGCGGGGGTTGAGAGGATTCACCAGAGACAGAGTTGGGGAGCAGAACAGGCAGATCTACTGAAATCCACTGCTGAGGGGAGCAGCGGGTGAGCCAGGAGAGGTCTGCTGCGCCATGTGTGTTGCTCCCTGGCTAGGGATCAAACTCGTGCTGCAGTGACTGGTGATAGCTTGATAGTGTTGTAGAGCAACCCCGATACAAAACGGGGTGCCTGACTGTGGGTCCTCACCCGCGCGCTTAAAAGGACTTATCAATGCTCTACTGCAGGCACACGTGAAAGGTTAATAAAAGGTTTATTTACAACGGAAAGGGAAATGAGGAAATGTACAGCTCTGGGAGAAAAGTGGGAGACAAAGTTTTAAATGCGTCCTACCCGATCCGCCGATCAGGAATCCCAAAATGGCGCTCTCAGTTGGCCGCCAGCCAGGAGCGGTGAAGCCAGGAGGCGAGCGATCGCGAGCCAGAGAGCGAGCAAGGCCCACGTGTTTGGTTTTTATATCCAACCTGGCTGCCCAACTCCACCCTCAGGTCCCAGCCACCCTCCCCTTGGTGGTGATGGGATTTGTCTTTCCCAATGTCCTGATGGCTTTAGTCTGGAGTGGGGGTGGAGTCCACAAAGCCTGTATGAGATTATCTCAGGACATCCTTTCCCCCTAACAATTCCCCCCTTTCACTTTTTGCCACCATTTCCATGGTGATGAAGATGAAACATATGGATTCTGGGATATAGTCTTAGATGAAAATTTTCCAGGGTTCCAGTGTGAAAGAAAACGAATCCCTCCAGGTAGTGTCCATTGTGGAAAGCAAAAGTCCTCCATTCCTGGAAAAACAGTTCATCAGTCCCAGCCGAAAGAAAACATCTGGAGGCATTAGCCAGAACAAGACAGCAGATATGTCAAAAATCACAGGAAAAAAAATCTTAAAATGGTTCAACTTATGCGCCAAACTGTTGTAGAGCAACCCCGATACAAAACGGGGTGCCTGACTGTGGGTCCTCACCCGCGCGCTTAAAAGGACTTATCAATGCTCTACTGCAGGCACACGTGAAAGGTTAATAAAAGGTTTATTTACAACGGAAAGGGAAATGAGGAAATGTACAGCTCTGGGAGAAAAGTGGGAGACAAAGTTTTAAATGCGTCCTACCCGATCCGCCGATCAGGAATCCCAAAATGGCGCTCTGAGAGCTGGCCGCCAGCCAGGAGCGGTGAAGCCAGGAGGCGAGCGATCGCGAGCCAGAGAGCGAGCAAGGCCCACGTGTTTGGTTTTTATATCCAACCTGGCTGCCCAACTCCACCCTCAGGTCCCAGCCACCCTCCCCTTGGTGGTGATGGGATTTGTCTTTCCCAATGTCCTGATGGCTTTAGTCTGGAGTGGGGGTGGAGTCCACAAAGCCTGTATGAGATTATCTCAGGACATCCTTTCCCCCTAACAATAGCACTGTCTTTAATTCCCCCACGCCACCAGGGAGGTCCCACGCTTTGTTTATTGAACACACATTTATGAAGCCCTTCGCCCATGGCACTGTAACATTGACTTTGCTTATTTGACTGTCTCCCACGACTATCTGAACATATCTTACATCAACTTGCACAGAGCACGTTTAGACTATTAATATGTGCTGTTGAGTTTCATCAAATTGCCAAAACTGAGAAGTGGGAGAAATCATTACCTATCAAGGGAACTTGAAATTAGCTTGGAATGGCTAGAATTAAGGTATATGTGAGGAATGGTGAAAAATGAGGCTGGAGAAGAGGTAAAAGTCAGATCATGAAAGGTCTACCATGCCAAATCAAGAGGTTCAGATTTTATCCTATTATAGCAAACTAAGGGATTGCAGTAAATGTGAAACTTTCAAGTAGTGACATGATCAGATTTGTATTTTACTCTTCTTTGTACTGTTTCAATTTCAGTGTATATGCTGCTAAAGCAAGCACCAGATTTTTATTTTGAATTTCCTTTTGGCTGCAGTTTCACGGGGGAGTTGGCAACACAGGACTGTCGATTCTGGATTGGCCTAATGGAATGGTCATAAGAATAAGAGGGGCACATTTTAGAGACAGTCTGGGAATTTGTGAGTTACGAAAAAAAGGTGAAGATGGCGGTTCAGAAGTGCTATCTGACACACCCCTCGAGTTACCCAGTAACTCCAGTAGAGCCAGAACTAAGGTCTCATTTTACTTAAGCGAAGTGTTAACCCCTCAGTCAGTGATCTGTTCTAAAGGGAGATCTGACTTCTCAAGGGGAGTGAACACAGGCGGATCGTTCCTGGGTGGTTCTCTGGCCAGGAGAGTTGGGCTTACATTTGCAAGGGACCCTTTGCCCTGGTTTCCTTTCCTGCCTGTCAGCGCTCAGGTCTTATTCCACAAGAGCAGAAGCCCCCAGGCCTGCTCACACTCTAGCTCCCACACCACCCCCAGGGAAGGGAGGGGGCTTTCAATGCTGGGGTCCCTCATCATTTATCCCACCATGGGGATGCTCTTTGCCCCATCCTCAGCGGGAATTAGCATGACTACAGGGCAAAGAATCGAGGAAGGAGGCGGGGGTAGTGGCCCCTCCCCAGAGCCAGGCCAGCCCTCCACTTCTTTCCCTCCACTCGCTGAGATTCCTAAAAGTCTGTCCGGGGTGGGGGTCTTGGTTTTGTTGTAGGCGGTTTTCACGTCTATTCTGAGCCAGATCCCTGCAGGGCAGATGCTAGTGGTCTACCAGCTAAGGGCACCTCCCTCTCCCTTGCCCCACGCCCAGCCTGTGCGAGCATGCACAGCTGTCTCCACAGGACACACTTCTGTGCCTTACTCTGTTTATCACGCAAACCTCCAGAAGGCTGACTTCAAGATGAGAACTGACAGCGCAGAATCTCCGACGTGGACCTGTCTGGTGCTCAAATCCCTTTGGCCCCTTCCGCCACAAACCCCCGACTGCCCTCTCCCGCTCAGTGACTAAGGAGAATGACCAAATCATCTGGCCCAGGTCCGTTTTGAACAATTTTTATTATACGTTTAGTGTTCTCTATACAAAAGAAATCAGTTTTTTTTACAGTGATTCAAAAAAAAATTTGAATAATTTGGCCTTTTCATCGCTCATGCAGTCAGTTTATAAGTCCATGTATTAGATGGTTCTCCAGGGCCCCAGTCTTCCCTGCTGAAGGTTCGCATGACACCCTCTGACACGCATCTGTCGCTGACAAGGTTGGTTAATGAAAAAATAACTCGCAGAAAGGAAAGACCACATGTAAGAGGGTTAAACAAAGTCTGCCATGGAGTTAAATATTCAACCAATGAAAAAAGCAAATCTGTGGGTGTGTGGGGGGAATGGAGACCGCGGGAAACATTGGGGTGGTGGGGGAGAGTGGGGAGGAGGTGGGTCGGGGTCTTCTGGGTCCAGCGAGGGTTTGGGGGGAGGGCAGGTCTCGGGGTCAGACTCCAGCGCAGGAGAAGAAATTGGCAAAGAGCTGGGCGCCGGGCGGAGGGACAACACTGCGGACTTGCGTTTGGGAGTCAGAACAGAGGAGCAGGGCCGGGGATCTGACCTGCATTGTTTTCGAATAAAGAAACAGTAGTGCACAAAATTCTGGATTCTTCTCCCAGATTTTTGTTGTTTATTGCTTCACTGAAGTCTTTACCTGTGCTGAACTCCAGCCCGGCAGATCCCACAGGCCCTGCGGCTGAGCAAAGGGTGCACAGTAGGCCCCCTCGTCCTCACTCTGGGGGACACAGCGCGCTGGGGGCCGCAGTGTTAGGAAGCGAGGGGCGCTGCACAGGGGGACGGTCTAGGCTTCACAGTCACACATAGCTACCAGCGCCTCCTCTCCTCCTGGACGGCTGGGCTCTGACTGATATGGCCAGGTTCATGGAGCTGTCGCAGATGGGTCTTGAGCTCAGAAAAATCCTTTGTCTTTCGTTTTGGAAGGTACACGTAGGTGTGAAGGGGTTGTGGAGAGCTCTGAGAGGGTGAACCACCAGAACAGATCTTAAGTCACCCCTCTGCTGCAAAGTGAGGGGCAGAACACTGGACAAGGAGGCGGAGGCTGACTTCAGGCCCTACCTCACCTTGACTTAGAGCCCTGTGACCTTGGGCAGAATCCCTTCGCCTCCCTGGATTTGCTTCCTTGCGTGTGCGATGAGTCATCCAGTTAGATCAGCCTGTGATTCCTTTGCTGAAACTAGATCCTGCCCTAAAGCTAGATGCCTCCGTACCCATATCTCATCTCCACCCTATTGTTATGGAGCAGCCGAGTAATACTACTGTGCTGACCAAGGAGCACCGTTTCAGGTGTGTCTTGAGACGCTGTTTACTGGGGTCTGGAGCCTTCCCTGGCTGGCTGTCCTTCCCCACGATCCTTCCCTGCACCTGTCTCAGGAAGGCCCATTCCTAGTGGGGGAGACTTGGGGGGCACTGGCTTGGGACGTGCAGGCTGGAGTCAGCTGTAAGGCCCTGCCTGCCTAAGGAGGAGCTGCCTAGAGGCTGGGCTCTGCCCACCTCGCTTGCATCTCCAGGGCACTAAGTCACCTTGGGATATTTCAAGCTCTTTGTTTCATTGGTCTGACTTCATTCTCTGGTAGTTTTGAAAACCGGGGACTTCCTATATTCTACTCCTCAGCCACCATGCAAAGTTCAACCAGGTGATCTTTCCCGGGGGCCTAGCTGGTGTGTGTGGCAGAGGCTGTCTCAGCGGTGACCAAGGTATCGACAGGAAGCAGTGTGTGCTCTGGGCTGGCACCCCAGGAATGGTTGCCCCCCACTGAAAAGTGATTCCCTGGCAGCAGCTCTAGGCAAAGGTCTGGGGAGCCTGAGCTCCCCAGTGTCAGTGAGGCAGCAGTGCACAGATTGAGGCAGAAACGTGTTAAATCTCCATTCCTGTCACATCACACGAGCGGTTTGTGAGGCCCCGGGATTTGGCTCTAACCAGGGGGAGCGTTAAACAGCCACTTCCCTGGGCTGTTCCAGGGTGATTCCCTCCCCAACAGCTCAGAGTCTCCCTTCTGCCTGCAGGAATTGCTCGAACAGGGCCCAACTTGACCAGCCTCTTGTCCCTTCCCCCAAGATGTGCACTGCACCCCACTTAGCCCTTAGTATCTCCAATGGGCCTGGACCTCCCCCCTCCAAGACAATGTCCTCTCTGGATTGTTCTGATGCTGCCACCCTGGGATGGGCCCTGGTCTGCTTCATGTGTGCATGTGTCCCCGTGAGGGTGCTGGGTGGGGGCGCAGCCCCTTAGATGAACATCAATATCCTCGGCTCCGTTTCTACCCCTTTTCTGAGGTGAATTGTGATCAGAGAAATTCTGGAAACACTATCTGGGCCCCGCTGCAGGTGCCCCTGGTAGGGTAAGCACTGTTGGCACTGGCTGGCGCTGGGGCAACTGGACACCCCTTCAGACCCTGGGACTCGCCAGGAAGGGGTGGATGCCTCCAGCCAATATGGGCAAAGGGACATGATGAGGGGCACGGGAGGGAAGAAGCGTGTCTGGTTCTCATCAGCCCGAGCCCAGCCATCTCCTCAAAGCGAGCCAGGCAGAGACAGGGTCCAGTCACCATTGTCTGGGCAAGGTGGGAGGCCGCGGCCCCTGGCCCTGCAGGGGGGTACACCCCAGACACATCCCTGCTCCTTCAGATAGGGCCATGCCCCTCTGTGGGGGAGGTATTCAAAGGAGTTGAATAGGGGAGACAGAGGCACCAAAATACAGACAAGTGAAGCAACTTGCCCCAAGGGCAGAGCAGAGAGGCTCAGGAAGCAGAGCTGTTCCTCAGGCACCACCCCTCCTCCACCGTGTGCCCTCCCTGTCCAGCCTTGGGGACCCAGCCTCCCCAGAGTGCTCCCAGGTGGTGCCCACTGTGTCCCAAGACTCAGTTCCAAGGCCCCTCATCCTGGTGTCCAGGGTCCAGGGCCTGACTAGACAAGATGTTCAAGAGCATCTCCCAGCAAATGGGCGGCTGGGTGAGAGCCGGGGGAACCGCTCTCAGGGCTGAGCGTGACAGGCGGGGTCTCGGCACAATGGAACTTTCAGAGTCACCGGGAATGACCTGCACTTCCTCCCCCAGCCAGGCAGCTAGAAGCACCAAAGGGATCGCCCTCTCCTGGCATTGCTGTCACTGTCTGGGGTGGTTGCTGGAGTCCAGCTGGCAGGAGGTGCCGTGCAATACTGCTCTCCTGGTGGACTGGGCAGCAGCCTGGCCAGGTTTCCACGGAAACCGGGCTGGGCTCCTCCTGGTAGGGCCGCGTCCCCACCCCTCTCACCCCTCTCTAAGCACCTGCCAGCCTGCAGGTCTGGCTTTGCTCCGGCCTGCCAGGGGACCAGGAACTCAGGCTGCTGTCAGCACCTCACAAGGGGAGGCCTCCAGAGGGGGCTGACGACATTCTTCACACAGGGAGCTGGAACAGAAGCTGGCAGAACTGGGGCGAGGACAAAGACAACGAGGACTCTCCTCTCCCCAGGGTCTCCTTAAGAACCTGACAACAGCAGAAGCCCTTCCCCAGTAATCGTCTGTGTGGCAGACCTTCTAGAAACAGGGGGAGGGAGAGGATGACATCCCATGGTCCTTCTTGCCCCGAGGGCCTGTTTGGGTGGGATGAGATCACGAGCGCTTGGTGCAGAATGGGATGAGGGCCTGAGAAACGGATACTCTGCTCAGATCCAGAGAGCTTTCTGGAAAGGCCAGCCCTTTAATTCAGCTTGCGGGCACCTGCCCCAACATTCCCTTCATGGACGCTGGGCCCAGGCTGCAGGAAGGCCCAGCCAGCTCCCAGCAGGTGCGGGGGACGTGCTGCGCTCACCCTAGCCGTGCTATTTACCTGTGCCCCTGCACATGCGAGAGTGGCCCTTCCAGCTTACAGGCAGCAAACCTGACCATGACTTGGGGCAAAGGACAGCTACTTGGCTCAGGCTCAGACTTCCTGGATCAGCTCGGGGCTGGGGTTTCCACCTGCAGACAGGGCACGTGCGTCTGCAGGCTCGACCTTCAGCTGACTTATTAGGTGATGCAAGCATTGCTAATACCTTTGCGGCTTAAACATGTGGCAAATGATGCTGTAGTGGTCTCTGAAGGACGCAGCCCTGTGCCTGCCCAGGCCCCTGGCAAGCAGCTGGAGGCACAAATCAGCGCCTGTGCTGTGGAGGTGGCCCGGCCTCCGGGTCAGCTTCGCTCTCCTGAAACCGACTCCAGCGGCAGCCACAGCTAAAGGGTTGCTTTAGGCTCACAACGTCTCTCTCTCTGAGGCTAGGTACCTTTGGTTTCAAAAATGAATTAGGTGGGAGGCTGAAGGCAGCGCCTTCATCTCTGAGAACTGCGGGGCTGCGAACGTCTCCACCGGGGCCACAGGCTGCCGGGCGCCGTGGGGCGGCGGCCTCAGCTCTGCTGGATGTGGGCAGAGGCGCCTGCCCTGCTCTAGAGACAGCGCCACTGGAGGCTTCAAGGCTTGCAGGGGGGAGCTGGGAACCTGGGAACGCAGAGACAGGTTGGAGCTGCATAAGGCATACGAAGAACGCCGCGTCCTCCTAGGCCAGGCTCCGGCATGGCCTCACGGTGCTCACCGGCCTCCTGATATGTAAATACCCTGGGAGGGACACAGCGGCTCAGTCGGGGGGCAGCAAGGCCCCGTCCACATGCCACGTATAACACCAGTTCAATATCATCCAAGATTGACTGAGGAGATGATATCTGCTGGAGATGAAAGGAGGAGCAGTACCGTGCTCCCCCAAACATACCAGCCAGGCTTTTGCATCACAGGGTAACAGTCTCCTTGAGGGTAGCAGCGTCGACCCCTGCCCAGGTGGGGTCCCCTCCATTCTGGAAGCACCCTGCACTGTTTCATGTTGGGGAGGGAGCAGATCCAACCCAGACTTTTTTTTTCTCTCCAGAGGTGAGCTCAGCTCCCTAGGGACCAGACGCCTGATTTCCTTCTGCTTGAGGTACATGGTCACTGGAGTTGAAATCCTTTCCACCAGTGCCCACTCCTCTTCCTCAGGTTCCTTCTTCAGAGTCGGAGCAGCCAGTCCTGGACACTCCGGAGGAGGTGGCAGGGGAGGAGCGAGGGACGAGAGGTAAGCCCACCCCCCAACTGAACCAGAGGGAGGCATGAGGCCTGCCCACCCTCTCCCTGCCAAGAATACTGTCATTTTCCAGAAAGGAGCCAAGCCCAGCTCAGCAACTGAAAAGGCCGAGGCAGAGGGGGTGGGGCCGGGGAGGCATATGGCGAGAAAGGCATCCTTCGGAAGTACGTTGGCCCAGCGGCGGTTTGAATACTACAGCTTTTCTGTGTGTTCTTTCACGGATCAATCCTTTTTGCCTGTCTTTGCAATTTCGTGGGGGAGAATCCACCTATTCCTTCTTTTCCCAGGGACACTTCTTCAAAATGAAAAGAAAACGGAGACGATGAGCCTGGAGGGAAGACGCACGAAGCAAAAATAAAGACAAGGAAAAGGAGTGAAACCAACAAAACTGGGAGTGTGTGGCGGTGAGGTCAAGGTCAAGGTCAGGCAGTGTGGTGGCAGGCTCGGGGTGGCTGTGAGGCTGAACAAGGACCTGGGCTCCTGCTAGCTGAGCTCAGCTGGGCTGGAGCTCTCCGGCGCGGGTGGGACCCCGGAGGGGTGCGGGGTCACGAGGAGGGGTTTGTAGTTGGCTGGGTGATCGGTGGTCCTCACAGCTTGGCAGACCCCCATGCTGGACCCTCGTCCTGGAGGTGGCGGTGGCTTTGTGGTAGTTGCAGTGGCTTCGTCTCCCCCTCTCCCCTGCTCCTGCTTGCAAAGTGGTGGCTGTGCCTGGTGGGCTCCGTTAGGCCAGAGAGTAGATGGCGTTGACGGGCGACGTGGCCTCTGAGCTCTCGTTGCCCTCTGTTTCCTCCTTGTCCTTCTTGACTGTGTACTGGCCGATGAAGGAGCCATCCTCGTTGAACTGCCCCTCACCACCCTCGCCATAGTCCACCAGGCTGTCGTCGCTTTCTTGCTGCTTGATGGTGCCATCCAGGGACGTCTGGCTGCCCTGCAGGGGCTTGTTGTCCTCGTCACTGGGCAAGAGAGAGGCAATCAGGTCCGGAGCGCCCAGTGCGGCCCTCCCTCGCTGGCCCTGTCCAGCTCCTCCAAGAAGGGACGGCACCCAGGGAGGCAGCAGGTCGGTGCGGAGCGGGGACTGGAGCCCACACTTCGGCACGCCTGGTCTGGGGGCCTCTCTGTGAGGATGGGCCACTTTCGGGGTGCCAGGAGGGTTGGGAGGAGTGAGGATGGGGAAAGAAAGAGTTGGCATTCTAGTCCCTCGGCCAGAGTGTCCCTGCGTGCCGTGGCCTAGAGCAGGCCCCTTCCTCTCGTGGGCCTCATCTCTCCGTCAGGAGGGTTGAACCAGCTCTGAACTCCATGACCTGTGGCTGTTGGGAATGGGCCGGCCAGTGACAAGAAGGGAGGCCTGGGGTGTGATGAAACACCCCTCTCCCATCTGGATTCTCCACTCTGCTCATCTACACACGGATGCTCCAGCCTTGGGCCCAGCAAGGGTGAGGCGGGAGGGTGTGTGGATCAGGACGTGAGGCAGCAGCTGGAGACAAACTAGCATGGCACAGGGAGTCCTGCCCAGCCCCCTCCTGAGGCCCCTGGTGCTGCCTGAGCCCCTTCTGTATAGGGAGGTGGGAGACAAAGTGGCACCAACTGGCTGGGATGCCTGCTGGGCCCCCGGAAGCGAGACCCTCGAGGGCTGGGTGTCTGCTGGGCCCCACATCACATCCTGGCTGGAAGACTCTGTGCCCTTTAGCTCAGAGCAGGGCCAGGAGTTGCTGGCTGCACTTCAGAGGGAAGTGAGCCCAGACAGGCCCGGGTCGGCATCTGGGTCCCTGCACACTCCCCTGCCTGCAGGCTACACCCAGCGCTTCTGGGGCCTGGGACAAGCCTCCAGCTGAGTTGCCATTAGAGTGAGAAGAGCCTTCTCACTTCGCAGCAGCGCAGGCAGACGGCCGGGGAGGGGGTGGGCACAGAAACCTGGAGTCAGTAAAAGGAGGGCATCAACGCACTCAGCCCCCCACCTGGACACAGTAGGGCAGCAAGTGAGGAAGTGGGTCTCCAGCCTTGGTTACACTGCCGTGTGGGAAGCAGAGCCCACCTTTGGAGAACTGGCAGATTGCAACGAACAGGCTTCTCATCTCACTTTCTGGTCTTTTTCACATGCGCCCTCCACCCTTCTGCAGGGCACCTGGGTGGTGTCTATGTGATTGTCGTGAACTGCAGGCTACACTAAATGCAGCCCGAGCACAGGGAGGGCTCAAGGGGTGGGAGGTCGGGGGAGGCAACTTCAGGGAGTCAGAGGCTTGAGAGGGAAGGGGTCTAAGTTTGGAGAGAACAGACCCTCCTAAGGGGATACTTGAAAGAAACCAGAATGACGGGGGGCCCTAGTCCCACCACCTGTCAGCCTACCTTCCCAGAGGCCTTTGAGGAACAAGTGGGCAGACGGGAGCAGGTAGCAGAATTCCCTCCAGAGGCCAGAGTGGAACAAGGCAAGGTATGTTCCTTCTTACCATTGCCAGTTCAGTTCTCCTGGACTCATGCAAGGGGGGGCTCTAGAAGGGATGCTGTGACCCCGCAGAGCCAAAGCAGTGATGTGTGCATGTGTGTGTGCCCATGCACAAACCGGTGCCTGTCTGTATGTCTGTGCAGGTGCAGGTATACAGGTCCATGTATGTCTGTCCAGCCTCACTGTCAGGGGGCAGGTTGGGATGGGGACAGGTGTTTTTAGCCAACACCTTGGTGTCTGGGGGATGAGAGGGCCTGAGGAGGTGCCTCATGGTCAGGTGGCCTGGCCTGGGCATCCTTACCCCTCCTCTGTAGCTGCACTGAGGGCCTGGAGAGGAAAAAGCCCCAGGGCCTTTGGACCAGATGGCCAAGGAATGACTCTGAGATGGGCCCCTCCAGGGGTGCCAAAGACAGCAGGGAAGAGGAGGGATAGGGGTTCCTTGTGTATGCTCCTTCGGGGCTGGCTGAGTGGACGTGGGCAGGAGCTGCCAGACAGGCTCTGGTGTGGGCAGTGGCCCTGCTGCCTATTGATCTGATCCTGGTGCCAGGCTGCTGATGGGCAGAGTGGCGGAGGCCCAGGATAAGGAGAGGTCAGAGGAGGACAGCGGTAACCTGTCCTAACAGAGTACTAGGTAGGTGGGGACTTATTCCCACCCCACTTGGTCTGAGAACGAGTCTGCCACCCCCACCCCCCATCATTCCTTAGCTCACAACATGCTTGCTGTCAGAATGGATGATGGCAGCCTTGTTAACCAGATACAAAAGCTCATCTGGATCTGAGAGGACACAGAGGAGCTGCAAGCTGGCCCTGGGCGGCCCCAGCCCTGCCACCTGCTCCTGCAGGGCACATGCAAGAGTCCTGGGCAGGGCCCCTCCAGGTGGACCTCTGGCCTCTTATCTGGAATATGGATTCTGGGCGGTATGCCTCTCCTTCTAGGCCGTAGCCCAAGGATGTCACCCAAGCTCATGAGGACAAGGCCTAGCACACCCCTTCCAACGGCACCACTGCCTGTCATCTGACCCAGCCAGGCTGCAAGACAAGACATCTCCCCAGGCTGCTAACTGCAGGGCTAGGCGAGCTGTGGGCACATAGGCACAGAACCCAGGCCATTCCACAGCTTGGGTGGCCAACGGCTTGTTTTCGGGTAAAGAGGAGGGAAGGACATAGAAGGGTGAGCTGCGTGCTGCTGCATGAATGCAGCGCTGGTCACTGTGTTGGGTGGTGTCTCCTGAAGGTGCAGGGGGTTCTGTCTGCACCATCTGGAGGACCGCGGACCTGATGGCGGAGGGCCAGGGCATGGACACAGTGGCCCTCCGCTCAGCTGAGCTGCTGCAAGGGCGGGGATCAGGGGCAGCCCACTTTCAGGGCTCAGGTGCAAGCAGGAGCCAGCGATCACCCACCTGTAGTCAAACGAGCCGTCCTCCTCTTTGGGATCCTCAGGGCCGAGAGGGACATCCTTCTTTTCTCGCACTTGATCAACAAGAGAAGCAGAGACACAGACAACTCAGCAGGACTCTGACTCTAGGGCAGAGTCTCCCCTTTAACCAGGCACCACCAAGGCCTCCCTGGCTCCTGCTTCTTACATATAATCAGCTGCCATGGGGTCCCCTATCTCCACGGACCCCTGCAATCTCCTTGCCTCCCCTCCAGGTCTCCCCCAGACAGACACCAAAGGGACGTGACCCTCTCCTTCGTACCATTCTCATTCTGTTCTCTCTCAGGAATGTCATGCTCATACCAAACGCCAGTTCTTTCCTTAAAGGCGGGGAACTGTGTTTCTTTCTTTTTTTTTTTAAACCAATAAAACAAGAACTATTTATTCAACAAGTTCATGCACGAAATTGTACGGATGGGGTTTGTCAATATTTTAGGATCCATAAGAAGGCAATTTTGTTGGAAGCTGATTCACAGAGAGGCGATGTAAGCTCAGACTTACAGAGCTTAGGCAGAGATCTAGTTCCCCAGCTGGTTCGTGTGGGACTTGCAATCAGTCACCACACGTTAGATCAGGCCAGTCGCTAAGCCCAACGGTGACGCAGCAGCAGCATGGTGGAAAGCAGACTTTACTCAAGCTGGTCACGTAGGAGAGTGCAAACAGTCACTACTAGTAATAATCGTGGGTAAAATTGCTGAGTGCTGACTATATGCCAGCACCATGCCAGGGGGATTATCCCACCGATCCCCTAAGCAGCCCTAAGACAAGGAAACTAATCCTCAGTGAAGTTAAGTAACTTGCATGCATGAACAGCTAGCGGCGGAGTGGGAACGGGGCTCCGGCTTGAGTCACTCTGAGAGCAAGAGAGCCGTTTGTGACTGGCATTGAATTTGCTCTTTAGGAGAGAAAAGCAGCAGGAAGGCTAGAAACAGCCACAGGAAGGTGAGTAAGTGCTTCTTCAAAGCTCCGAGCAGAGAGGATACTCCAGCCATGTGCTGGAATGGAGAGTGACTGCCCCCCTTTTTTTTTAAGATTTATTTATGCATACAAGAACTGGGGTACAGGCCAGGGGTGTGTGGGGGGTAAGAGGACTCATCAGAGACAGAGTGGGGAACAGAACAGACAGACTGCCCGAAATACACTGCTGAGGGGAGCAGCGAGTGAGACAGGAGAGGTCTGCTGTGCCATGTGGGCAGCTCCCTGGCCGTCCGGGGATTGAACTCATGCTGCAGAGGCTGTGGACAGCTTCACAGTGCTGTGCTTAACCCTTTGCGCCACCAGGGAGGCCAGGAAAGTGACCTCCCTTGTTATGTCACTCCCTCCCCTACACCTCCACTGTGATTGTCAACATCTACCCACGGGCCTGCCGCTCATCCTGGGGTCTTCCTACCAAGCCAGCAACTGTCCCTGCAGGGCAGAGCAGCTTTCCTTTCAGTGTCCTTAGCACCCAGCACAGAGCCTGGCACACAGCAGCTACTGGAGTGACTTCATTAATTTGAGATATGAGACGGAACAATCACCCCCTTTTAGAGGAAAACCGAGGCCTTGAGGGGCAAAGGACATGTCACATGATGTCACACAACTAGTAAGGGAATAAAGTCAAGTGAAGGATGACCAGGCCCCTGGGTTCCTGGTCTGACTTGAGGGTCCCCTGTAGCTGGGGGAAGGGCTAGCTTTGAAGAACTTTCTGGAATGGGATAATTTCTAAATGGGCAGAGTTTATAGGACGAGTCCTGTAGGTGTTCCGGGTCCTCCTGGAACAGGGGGTGAGCTCAGTGAGTCCAGAGAGGGTGAGCCCTCTCCCTAACTCTGGCTTTCTCTCTTACCAAAAAAACCAATCCCACACAGCACAACAAAGCGAAAGGAAAGATCCATCAGGAAAAAATTAGAGTTTCCTGCCCTTTCTCATAGATGTCCCTTCACTTACAGGAAGGCTTTACCATGAGGATCCCAGGGCCTGAGGACAGCTAGGCAGAGAAGGAAATAAAACAGAATTTCCTCTCCTTTGAGTTTTAGGGGTATCCTAGCGGAGAACTTGTCCATAGAGATGAGCTCAGCAGCATTTGGGGGGTGTGCTTGGTGATGGCGTTGGGGGAGGCAGGGAGCAATTTCATCCTGCAGTCCAGCAAAATCTCCACTGTCAGGGTCATCCATTATCCTGTCTCCTGTCACCCTACCCACCCCATCACAGACAGATGACTTTCTTGCCCCTGTTTGAAAAACAATCAATATTTCCAGAAACAAGAATGCCAGAGGTCCTTGTCCTTGACCTTGGTTTGTCTAGGCTAGAGGATCTTGAGACACACGGAAAGAAAAGCCTCTTCGGGCCTCTATAAAGCCCAAAGCCTTTTTAGGAGGGAGGGATCCCTCAGTGCACCCCACGCCTCAGCCTCTGCTGCTCCTTATGTCAGGGCTCCTGAGCTCTGGTAGGGGTGTCATGATGAACCCTGGCCACCCTGAGCCCAGCTCTGCAGCCTCTCTCTTGGGGGTGCTGCTCCTGTGGAGCCCCTCCCCGCTCCAGTCTCAGATGTGGTTAAAGAAAATGCCTTTCTTCCTTCCTCCCGCCCTGGAACACAGGATCTAATCAGATTCAGGCTGAAAAAAGCCAACTGACTGAGCAGATGGTGATGAGTCAAGGGGAGGGCAGGCCAGACCTAATAGGAGCTGGGGTTCCTTCCATCCTCTTTGGAGCTGCCTGGAAGGCTCCATCCGCCCACCGCAGGCGCACTGATTAGCCCAAGGGCTTCCTGGCAGCTCCGGGATGTACAGTATGGCCGCACTCAGCAGGGCTGGCTTCCCTGGGAGTGGACAGGCCCCAGATGTGGCCAGGGACCTGGTGACTCAGGAGCACGTCAGGGCCTGCACGTCTTACCTGGGTACTTGCCTCCTCGACTCCGCTTGATGAAGCAGACGATCAGCAGGATGAGCACCAGGAGTGCGATGGCACACATGAGCCCGATGAACCAGCCCTGGGTGGCAATGTCCGCCTGGTTGTTGGTGTAAGCTGGCAGGGGGCCAGAAGCAAAGGCGTGAATGAAAGAAGGGGAGGAGGGGGTGTGAGGGAGAACTTTGCTAGTTCAAGTCCAGGCTTCTCCCGGAGCCTAATGCTACCAGCTACCACCGACAGCCTCTACCTCAGATGATCTTACAGGACAAAGAAAAAATGAAAAGCAAAGGTCAGAAGGTCAGGAAAGGGGCTGAGGAAAGGCAGCGAGGGAGCGTATAAGAAGCAGAATGCTGGACAGGTACCCCAGAAAGGCAGAAGTTCCCAGGACAGGCGCGGACAGGTGCGGCACTCTTGCAAGCCCAGGGCTGCTCAGCCTGGGGGGAATGGGGGGGGGGGCGCAGGCCTGGAGGCTGATTCCCTGTGGATGAGCCCAGGTGGAGGAAACAGGAGCCACATGCTACCCGTGGAGGGAACGGGCAGAAGTAAGAATGTCCCCTGCCTGGTGGCTCCGCTACAGCCGTTCCACCAGCAAGGCCCTTGAGCCCACCGGGCCTCCTGCAATGAGGTTGCCTGTGCTTGCTCACGTCCCCCTCGCGCTGGACTGTGCAGCCCTGACAGCAAAGGCAATCCCTGCCTTTGGGTGCCCCAGATGGGCCGGCAGCGAGGTCGGGGCTGGGTCAAGCTTCCAGAGCCCCCCCACACCCCTGCCAGACCACCTCTCCTGTGGCGATGCCCCTGGCAGCTGCAATGAGCCCATTGGTGCCCATCTGGGAGCGCGGAGAACTGCTTTAAGCCCTTTCGCTACTTGAGAGGTATGGGGGTGAGGGCTGAGGAGGGGTGTGAAGCAGGCATACCCTGTTTTCTCTGGACTGCGGAACAAAAGCAGCACCTCCTAAAATGTGGCTGCCATGGAAACAGACAGGGAGGGATCAGAGGGCAGAGACCTAGGGGACCAGGAGCAGCCTTGAAGGGCTGGACCCAGCAGGAGCCTAGAGGCCCAGGAGGCCCTGGGAGCTGAGTGAGGCTCAAGGCATCCTCCAGGGGAGAGAAGGAGCAGCAGGGGACCCTGGGCTTCATCATGTCCTGTCTTGCACAGGTGTCTGGGCGCCACCCCGCCATTGCTCTTTCTGCGTGGAGAAGCTGCCTTCACAGCCTCCCTGAACCAGCCAAGGGCACTGCACCAAGAAGGCTCTCAGTGACGGTGAAGACTGATGAGCAAGGACTTTTACCCCACTGCAATCTGGCCGCTCCAGCCTGACAAGCAGTGGGTCCCCAGGAACACACTCACAGGCACTCTCCCCTCCTGCTCCTGACAGGCTATTCCCCCCTCACCCGAGTGATCATCTCAAAACCCCACAAAGGTCAAAGCCCCTTTTTTTTTTTTTTTAAATAGAGGCATGCTTTATTTATTTATTTGTTTGTTTGTTTTGTTTATACATGCACTGGGTACAGTCAGAAGCGTGGGAGGGTGAGAGAATTCACCAGAGCCAGAGCGGGGAGCAGAGCAGGCAAAAGGACCGAAGTACACTGCTGAGGGGAGCAGCGGGCGGCAGGAGAGGTCTGCGCGCCATGTGGGACCCTCCTCCGGTGGCCGGGGAGCAGCCGGGAATCGAACCGGCGCCGCAGAGGCTGCGGGCAGCTTCGCAACCCAGCGCTCAACCGCTGCGCCACCGGGGAGGCCCCAAAGCCCTTTCTTACTTCCACCTCCAGTGCTTCTCATCACCACGGGGAAAGGCCCTGAGCCTCGCCTGGACCTGCGGGCTCGGTGTCAGAGCCTGGCCCTTCTCTCCCTTCTCAGCCTCGACGTGCTGCCACACTGGCCACCCTCGGCCCTGCCTGCCCTTTGCATCTGCCGTTCTCCCTCCGATGACCATTTCAGTGAGGTCTCCTCTTCAGAAAGGCCTGCTAGGTCGTTCCTGGCTAAGCAAAGGCCCTCTCTCATTTCTCTCATCCATAGCACTTGTAACCATGGGCTGTGTTACGACTTATGATAGTTCACATTTATAAGTACTTCCTATGAGCTAGGTTCCAAGTACTACTCTCCAACACATTCTCTAACATAACCTCAGAACCCGGCAAAACAGATTTTTAATTACTGTCCCATTTTACAGATGGGAAAATTGAGGCACGGAGAGGTTAAATGATTTGCCCAAGGTCACAGAGCTGCGTGCGGTGGGATGAGATGAGATGTCAGGCTGTCTGGCCGGAGGTTGCATCGTAAACCACTCCACCCTTGTCCCTCCCCCAGAAAGTCAGCCCCTTGGAGGGGCTGCGGGTTGTCTATCCCCCTGGGCAGGGGGCACAGCCTCCCCTGGGAAGGCACTTGGTTCACACTGACTCAGCGATGCACCCTTCATCAGGCTACTCACCCTCTCCTGGCTTGGTGGGACCTGCTGACCTTAGCCTCCACACTGCCTTCCTTTCTGCATCAGCCTTTCCAGCAGGCAGCTCAGCGGCCAGTGGGGACGCCTGGACAAGGACTGCATTTTGTTCTCACTGGGGCAGATGCAGAACCAGGCCCATTACAGTCACCCTTGCACGTGTCAGCTGGGCCTTTGCGTCACCTGGCAGCCCATGTCCTTCTCACTCACCGTCCCTCCAAAACTGTCCTTCCCAGTCACCTTCTCCCTGGCGGCTGGCCTGTGCTCTGGGCTGCTCAGCCCAGACCAGGGAGCCTCATGGCCTCTTTGTCCCGCCTGCCTGTTGGTAGGGCTCGCCCTTGCCGCTCTGAAGCTGTAGGGCCCGATGCCTCGCCTCCTTGATGCCTCAGTCTGGCTAAGTCTTGTTTCGATTGCCGCAGTGCCCTTCCTTCTGCTGTCACACATGGTGCGGCTGACTTTGTTTTACCAGAACTCCCCTGAGGGGCCCGCCAGCTTTCCAGCTCAAGCTCACGGCCAAACCAGCCCCTGGCTCCAGTCTCCGCCCTGGTGGGCTGACTTCAAGGTCTCCAGTGCTTTGTGGAGGAGGCCATCCCTAACCCACTGCCACGTGCTGTACTCCACCTGTCCTCAGGACCTGCCTTTCCAGCTGGCAGCCCATCATCCCCTCTCACCATCCCTCTAGCTGGCTCTGCCCCTGTGGGCCCAGGCCCTCCTCACAGCTCCACACCTGCTCTAACTCAAATGTCTTCCTGCCCCATCTCCACCCCCACTTCAGCTGGTGGCCTCGCCACCTCCCAGCCCTACAGGTATCACTTCTCTGTTCTAAACATCCCTCACATCCACCTGACCCCTTTGTAGTGTCCTTGCCTTCTGCCGGTCAGAGCCCGAGGACACGCAACACCCATCCTGCCGCCTGAGCCTCCTTCAGAACGGAATGTGTCACCACTGCTGAGTTGTTATCAAACTGTGGTTGGTTTCCCAAGCCCAGAAGGCTGGGCTCCGCCCTCCCTCTGCCCGCTCATGCCAGTCGCTGCAGTGACTCTGCCTCCATCTACTTGTGCAGTGTGACATTTGCTTGTCCTGCTTCCGGCTCTTGGTTTCCAGTTATACTATTAAAATCAGAGCAAGAGGGATCTCTTGGAGTCCGAGATGTTCAGCATATGCTGGTCACACAACAAGTGTTCAGTTACTGCTTAGTGATTAATAATCCACTTAACCTTAATCAGGTGTATCTGGGATATCACTCTAAGTCCTCTCTGCCAATGCCAGCAGGGGTGACGTGGATATCGGAGCGGCCAGGTACCCCTGTAGGCAGCCTTCGAGTTGTGTTGGGATAGTGGCTCCCTGCTCTGGGGGGACAGTGGTCTGCCTTTCCACTGCAACCTAACTGTTCCTACCTGCTGGTGCTGGCTCTGGTGCATCCAACAGCCTCCATAAGAGCCCTTTCTCATGGGGGAGCCTAAATCCCAGGGAAAGTGGCCAAATGGGCAGCTTAGAGGCAAATGGAGCTTTCCTTTCCTGACAACTCCACGGCAGGTTCAAGTGCTTAGTCTTTACTAAGGTCGGAGAATTTCTGTGACATGTGGACACAGAAGGCTGTTCAAGACCAAGTGGGGTTGGGAGTAAGGTGGCTCAACTTGACCCACGAAAATGACTTAGTTTCTTAAGAACCGAAAGAAATTCGGGTCACGATGATCCCACCACAGGGCGACCCCTGGGGGCAGGGGCAGTGCAGTGGCTCCAGGGCCGCTCCCTCTGGCTGCAAAACGCCCCCTTCCCCGCCCTCCGTCTTAATCTGCTCAACATGTGTCCGATTCCTCACGCATCCGTAAACAACACTCAGAGACCGGGCTCACTTCCGGCCCTCTCTCCGTGCAGCTAGAGGGAGAGCGAGACCACACCCGCCCAGCAGGCCACAGACTGCTCCTTGGGACCAGAGGCCACGGTCCATGTGCCTCGAGACCACGCCCCACAACCCCACTCAGAAGCAAGCTGGGCAGTTCCCGCTACTTCTAACCCAAGCGGGATAAGCGTGGCTTGGCCACGGAAGAGAGCCCAATCGCTCAAAGTCGGCAGAAGAATTTTAGAGCAGGTCTCGAATAGTCTCCCTATGGAAACGTCCTCTTGTTATGACATGGAGAAAAAAACGTTGAATGAAATGATAATCAAGAACCTATTTTCTTTCTGTCGTTTTACTCCAAGTCGCAGTTTCCAAGAACCTACAGACGCCATGAAGTGGGCACTTACTGGATTTTAGAGCTAGGGGCGGGGGAACATAAAGAACTGGGCAGGAATTGCCCCAGATGCCATCTGATTTGGCTTCAGCATCAATTTCCATCTCTCCATTCCCATCTCTCCCCACCCTGGGTTTCTCCCAAGTAGCAGAAAGAGGCTTATTACGGTTGGCCCCCAACGTCCCCGCACCTGGCCCTCCTGAGGCCCTAGGTGGCTGCTGTGTCTCGAGGCTCCACTGTCAGCGTGCCCCACGCGGCCACCTCAGCTCAGCCGTCCCGCCTCAGGACAGAATGGCCGAGGGGCCTCTTGGAGCCCACAGTTGTATATGTGTGGCCCCTTGGGTTCTGGCTTTAAGTGTCCTACATGGGATCTTTGTGGGAGGCTGGGGAGCCCGTAAGTAGCGCCCGCATTCCTTCCTGAGCCACTGTGGCACATTTGAGTGGTGGCCTATGGTAGGTACCTGGGTGGGGGATCATGTGACCTGGGCTCTGCCACAGCAAAGTGTTATTTCCAGAGGATCTGGACACACTCACAGGCACACTTTAGGGAGTAAGCAAGTTTTTTCCAAGTCGCAGTTCTTTCCCTGTGTGGTTTGCACATTTCTAGCCAGTGTGGGAGGAGTGAACAATCTGTATGGGGGTAGGGCTGGGTCACAAGCATGCACACCCGCAGGCTGGCGCTGGGAGGAGCTGGGAGACTGTCTAAGTGCCCAGTGCCTCACTCTCTCTGAAAGCAAGCTCTCGGGCTCAGCTGCTCAGGCCCAAGTGCACAAAGAGAAGGATTTGCGTCGAAGGGTCAGCAAAGCGCTACTAGTCACCAATATCCGCTGATGTTTTCTGTTCAGCTTCAGGTCTTCCTGGCAGGCTTAGGACTCTGCTCCCCAGCCCTCACCCGCAGTTCAGGGCTTAGACGTCAAACTGATCTTAGCAGCTTTGCCTAGGATGACACTCTATCCTCAGGTCTCCCCTTTGCTTCCAGCATCTGTGCTGGTCTCAAATTTGCAAAGAAGCAAAATCAAATTCACACACCACTGAGCAGCAGCTTGGGGCTCCCCCTGGGTCAGACAGGGTCCAGGCACCTGCTCCACTTGCTCAACTGTCCAGGAAGACCTGCTGCTCGCCCAGACATCCTGCCTGAACTGGCCTGGCCAACCCCAAGCAGGCAGCTGGACTCTCTGGCTCCCTAAGTCCTGCTGGCACGGACATTTGGAGGACAGGCCGAGGACAGGCAGGAACCAGCCTAACAGGGTGGAGGAGACGTGGGCAGTGATCACATCAGCATCAGCAGAGAACACAAAAGTCAACGTTTAGAAGTTTGTAAAAGTCAGTGTGTAGTGTTTTCCTCTATCCTGGGTCTCCACACCTGCATGTGGTCAGGACACCCTTGGGGGCGGGAACTGGTGCTTTTCTCTTAGTCTCTTTCCTCCATCCTTACCCTTAGGCCTGGGGCTTAGCATACTGGCCAGTTAGCTGCTTTGGAAGATATCACAGTTTCCAAACTGCCAGCCACCCTGAGGAGTTGAGATCACTGAGCCCACATGCTTGCCGAGCCCTGCCGACCTGCTCGCCTGGCATTGATGAGGCTGCGCCAGCCACAGCTGAAGCCCATGGGAGCCTCACACCCGGCACCAGAGAGCTCTTCCCGCCCCAGCATGACAGAAGGTGGACCACCTAAAAGCCACAGCAAACTTGGGACAGACATTAAAACAAAGCCCCAGACAAGTGCAGTCACGTACTTGAGTTTCCGGACAACAGATGACGGTGACAAGGCAGTGACACACATGCTGATCTTTGGTTTGGGTCTTGGGGAGATTACTGGGTCAAGACCCCTGGACAGTCCTATCCCCTAATCTCGCGAGACAAAGCAAGTCCCTGCACACAGTGGGCAGGCTGGACTGCCCTCCAGCAGCCCCCCACCACAGGGGCCCCAGCCACACACACCGAGTCCACCGAGCCCCCCGAACCCCCTGGGGGTGGGAGACAGCCTCCTCTGCTCTTGCCCTAGGATCTCTGTTTCCTTCCGACTCCCTGTTCATCCCCATGGGGCAGGAGAGCACTCCCTTCCGCTGGGCATGCACTGCTGGCTCCTCCTGGCTTTCTGGGAGCTGAGAGGCCATGCAGGATGGGGGTGGGGTGGAGATGAGTCTTCTTCGGAGACAAGCAGGAAGCTGAGAATGAGAATGAAATGCCCCATGCTTCTAGGGGCTGGCCAGGCCAGGTCCCCTCTCACCTGTACTGGTCATAAAGGTGATGACGGTACTGCTGATGCCCTCGTTGTCCCGGGAATAAACTCGCAACGTGTACGTCATCCCGGGATAGAGGTCTGTTAGCTGTACAGACTGGGCCTGAGCCTTAACAGGGACAGTTTTTTTCGTATGGTTGCCTGGGGAACAGAAACCTCAGTCAGCCTGGGGCCAGGCACGAGGAGCTGGGGAGGCAGTGTTGAGGTCCTGGTCACTTGGACAGGTAGAAGCACGGACAAGGGCCAGGCCTGGGTGCAGACCAGGAGGCTACCAGGTGGCGCCACCAGCCCTTCCACTTAATGTGACTCTATGTGAGGCCCTTCAGCTGAGGACACTCTTCTCTCTCCAAAATTGTCCTCTCCTCACCACTCTGGCAGTAGGCCTAGCACTGAACACATTATGACCTGCTTCCTTGAACTCTCAGCGTGTCAGGGGATGCTCATTGTCTGGACAGGGTCAGAGGGCCGCTTGGCCTGTCCTGGGAGAAGGAGGTGAGGCAGTACTTGCTCCTGGGCCTGCATTCCTGGCTTCTTCTCATCTAATGTTGAGAGGAACCTAGTTCACAGGTCAGGAGATGAGCATCTGTGCCTGGGATGAAGGGCGAATGGGGATGGAGGCCCTGCACAGGCAGGAGCAGCCCAGGGACTGGATTCTGTGAAGTGACTCCCCTTCCGATTGAGAGAACTAACTGTTGACTGTTCCTAGGGCCCTCCTGAGCAGCCAGCCTGGGCAGGTTTTCTGCAGGGGGAGCAGCTTAAGTGCTTAGTGCACAGCACAGTGGGCAGGGGTTCTGGGGAGGGGGGCTGCCCTCCCAGGAGGCAGATATCCAGCCTGCACTGTACACTGACAGATCACACCTTTGGTTCCAAGACTCAGTCAAGCCACCAGCTCTTGGAGACAAACGACCCTGTCTGTGTCTCCAACAAGGGGCCATTGGCGACCCTCTGGGGACAAAGCACGGTGGTGCTCCAAGCCTGAACTGGCCCCATCTGTTAAGTGGAGACAGCAGAAAACATGAATCTGAGTTAAGGAGACCCAGAGCTGAGAGTCGGCTCATTTGGGGGCTATTCAGTGCCCTCATCCTGGGCGGGGTGGGGACAGAGGCCATTCCCCAGACCCCCTGCCCGCACAGCCCCACTGCACAAGTTCCTTTCCTTCTCCGGGAGCCTGCTCCTCCCGCCTCACTGCTGTCTGAGTGTGTATCGATTTCATTACGCCCTAATTAAGGCCGGCTAAAAGGCTGAGCCTGGGGAGCTCACGGATCTCTGTAATGGCATCGACACTCCCCGCCGCCGCCACCCCGCACAGCAATGCTTACTGTCGATGTACTCAACCACAAAGTCAGTTCCGGGCCCGAAATTGTGCTTCCAGGTGATGTTGGCCCATTTACTGTTGGGGAGCACCGTGACGTTCCATATGGACTGCTCGTCGGGGGCTGGTGGTGGGTTAGAAGAGGAGTTAGTGGTGAGGAGGCAGGCAGCACTGCAGACAGACAGACAGACACACACACGTAACCAGGATGGGGTAGGCAGAAGTGGCTGCCCAGCCGAGCTCCAAGCTGCCTGGGGCCAGGCCAGAGGTGCCATCCAGGCAGGAGCTTGTGGTCCGCGGGGTGCGGGGCAAGCTGCAAACTGAGGGTCCACACAGGAGGGGGCAGGCATGAAAAGGCAGTTCCGATGCACCAGGTGGGCTCAGCCCTGCCCAGCTCCCTTGTCATGGGTTTGAACGGCGCAGTGAGAAAGGTTAGGAGGAAGCCCCACTGGCAGGATGCAGGCAAAGCGGGCGATGGGGCCCCTCTTTCCCCTCAACTATAGATGTTCTACAGGACGGAGACATGGTCTTTAAGAGCCACTCAAGAGTCATGGGGAGCCTGAAAAAGGACAGGCCCACACATGGAGCCTGGTGGGCTCCCGAGACAGCAAGGGGCTGCCACGCACGTAACTCCAGCCAAGGAGCCAGGTTCGTTCCTGGTCAGCGGGACTCAGGATCTTCTGGAAAATGACCTCAGATGGCCTAGGGCCCAGAACCCCAGGGTCCCGAGTAGACCCAACCCTCAGTGGCCCAAACACCAGAGGAAACTGGTTCTGTTGGCTTCTCGGCACCCCGGCCTTGAGACTTCATGTCCACGCAACATGGAAGACACTAGTTTTCTAGTTCCTGTGAGCCGGGAGCGCCTGCATCAGCTGTCGTGTGGTCCGAAACCACAGCCTTGGACAGGATAATAGCACTAATGTTCAAACATAATCATTTTTCAAGAGTCCCAGCAGCCTCATCACATTTCCCAGCAAAGATCTAGATGCGGAGTTCCAGGGTGAAGCCCGGGATTTCAAAGACTTTACAAGTGTGACTCCTATTTATTTTATCGGCACATTAGCGGGCACTGTCACCAACTCACTCGTCAAAAATTAATGGAGCACACAGACGATGCCTTATTCACGATCTACCTGGCACATGACCAAGTCTGCAGGGCCGGGAATGGTAACAGGTCTGGTCTTCACTTCTAAGTGGCACCTACTTTACTGCAATTGTCAGCTGCCTGTTGCCCCAGGTGAGGACGATTCATGTTGGGTGAAGGGACAAGAGAGGGATACCACCATGCCACCCTGGGGTGCTCTCCATGGCTGGGGAGAAGGCAGGTGTCTTTGCCCATCTGCCAGGTGCTTCCACTGTACTGGAAACGTAGGGGCTGCTTTAAACCACCCCAATCCCACTCCTGAACATCTTACAGTTCTTGCTAGTAAGAATGAATTCTATGAGTCATGGTTTGGGGCCTGAGTTTCTTCTTCCTCAGCTCTGGGCCCTGGAAATAGCTGGAGACTGGGTTTGAACAGCTTGGCCACCAATACCATATTGACCCAAATCTGACTGTCTTAAAGGTAATGAGGATACGGGAAAAGGTCAAATGATGGGAAACCAAAACGACTTTCATGTGGGAATGGCGGGAGGGAAGCAGGAATTACTCGCTGGCTCCTGGAATGTGAGAATTCGGGAGTATTCCTTGGAATCTGAGATGAGTCAAGGGCAAAAAAAAGTCTCATTTCACCCTGAAAAATGTACCCTCAGGGAATATTTTGCCCTAAGATGTGAAACATTCCACAAACCCAGGATGATAGAATTGTTCTGCCTTGATAAAGAAAGCGAGGAAGTGAAGGGTGTCCCCAAACCTAAGGAGGGACCAGGGGCAGGGCCAGGCTCTGCTGGCACAGCTGGAACTTGGGGTATGACAGCACACAGAGGGGCCGGTCCTCCATGGTGACAAAGTTGATCTCACCAGAGGACCAGAGGCTGCCAGGGAGCAAAATCTGCTCCCCTTCATCCTTTGTGATTCTCTTGTGTGAACTCCAAGCATTAAAGTAGGACCCAATAGGAACCCCACTTACATACAAAGGCTGGTCTAAAGAACAGCCACCACGAAGCCTCTGGGGGCAGCTTCTAATGGCCTACCTGGTTTCTCCTCAGTCAACTTTGTCCTAAAGTGCATGTTGTTTAAATTCTAGATATAGCAGCACCTTTAAGGAAGTCGGTGTTCCAAAGCATGTCACCTGTCTGCCCCGTGCGTATAGCTCCATGTCAGCAAATTAAAGGAAATACTCACATGCATTAAGCCTCTATGCTAATTCAAGTGCTGAGAAAAGTGGGTGGGAGATATATTCAGAGGGTGAGGTCTTGCCCAGGAAACGGGGGGCCGACACCCGACAGTGGCTGAGGGGACTCCGGTCCCCGCCACAGCCAGCCTCACACTGACTTGATAGTTGCAAGCGAGAGGCCTCCCTCTGTGGTAGTAAGAGTGTTGGATGCAGTTCTTAGAAGCAGCGCTGGGTTCCCCGGGGTCTCCTCACACGGGAAGCCCAGAGCTTCCTGGCGTGGCTGCCGGAACAGCACATCCTCCAGGGTCAGCAGGCAGCCCTGGCATTGATTCTCACCAGGGCCCCAGTAAGGCTGCACTTTTCCCTCCATCAGTACATTTGGGGATGTGGTGAACATGAGTGGGAAGAGCAACTGAGTGACTTAGAGCATTATGGGACTCCCTGGCAATACCGTTTCCAGGAAGTGCTGACTTTTTAAAAGAAAGTCTGTAAGTGTGCCTTTGGGGGAGGGAGCAAAGGAGGGGCTGGGTTCTGGGAACAGACAGGCTGGCCTGGCTGGCGACCCCCAAACCTGTTGCCCTCTATGTCTCAAGGCTGGAGGCAACTTGCCAGCCCTTTTCCGTGGCCACACTCGCCTTCTGGAGGCTCAGTCCTGGGCTGGCTGCTGGGAAGGTAGTTGGGGGCAGCCCCACTCTCTAGGCCCTGGGCCCTGCTGAGTGGCCCTCCGTTAAAGAACGGGGATCTGAAGCCAGGCCCAGGGGAGGGAGGGTGGAGAACCAGTTTGGGGTGGGCATGCTCTGGGCCCCTAGGCTTCAAGGCTGAGACTCCAAGTCGTGTGTGTTTCCAAGGTAGAAGCAAAGGGAGGTGTCAGTCAACACCACCCCAGACCCCCCCCTGCTATCTGGGAGAGTCCCGAGGGGTGAGGAGCGTGGACAGTAGGCAGTACCGGATTCGTGTATCTTAGTCCCGGTGGTGGTGGTGGGAGGACTCTCCGTGGTGGTGGTGGTGGCAGCAGTGGTTGTAGTAGTTGTGGCGACGGTGGTGGCGACGATGGTAGGTGCGACAGTTGGGATGATGGGGACTGTTGTGGCTTCGGTGGTGGCAACAGTGGCAGTAGCATCGGTACCGCTCACAGCGCCCGTCGCACCCACGGTAGTCGGGGGCAACGTGGGAGGAGCTGAGAGGGAAATGTAAGACAACCAGACTGGTTTGGTCGTCCCAGCCCGGACCCGGCCCCGCGTGCAAGGCAGGCACCCGGTGAAGAGATGGCGCTTTGGAGCCTGGCACTTCCCCAAGCATGACGGGCCGAGTGAGTCACTCCCTGAGAGGACACAGCCATGTGCAAGGAAGAGAATGAAGCCCTGCGTGTGTTTCATTTTCTTCTCATGGTCTGTGCGGCTTGAAGCACCCCGCATGCACCCAGGCAGGGCGAGGATGGGGGGGGGAGGGGTTTGAACAATCACTCAGACCCCAGGGACAGCCTGTGCCCACCTGGACACCGGTCAAGCAGCACTGCTGGGTCCAGCCCTGGAGCCCCGGCCTCAGGTGGGCGGGCAGCCTGGGCCTATGCTGCAGGAGCACTGGGCGGCCTTTTGGTCCCTGCTGGTCACTCCCAAAGTGTCCGTTCGCATGCTCACCTTGTACTACTACCACCCAGGCCCAACAACAGGGGACAATCCCCACTCTGGGGTCAGCCCCAGGGCTCTCCTGCCCCCACTGCTCTCCCTGCCCTCGCCTCATTCCTCGGCCATTCCTCGCTTGTCTCTGTGCCACAACGGTCCTGCATGTACTCCAGCCACCCTGACTTCTCATAACTGCCTTACTCTCACGAGGGTCCAGGCGGCCAAGTCCTTTCCCTACATATAAGAATGTGGGGAACAGCATGAAAGGACTAACAGTGTGGCTGTGCCGCCTTCCCAGCCCACAGAAATCCTATCAGTCCCCTGAAATTCGTCCCGGGCTTCTTATCTATACCAGTCTCCAGGGGCAACAAATTTGTGCCAACTCTCATGTCCTCATCTCCCACTGACGCTAACTCTGCCATCTGTTAGTCCTCAAGGGCTAAATATATATAGGTGACAACTTTTCCTTCTTTCCTGCTACAGAAGGGTCATGGAAGATAACCAAGGGCTGCCCCAGCCTTACTCTTTAGTTCCACTGTTGACTAAAGCTAAGTGTTTGACAAGAATGATAGGCCACATCAGAGAGGCTGAGCCACACCTCTCCTCCTTGCAGTCCATCTTCTGTGATCTGACCATGGTACAATTTCTAGTGTCGATGCTAAGGGAACAGTAGGCAGGGTCATTAAGACCTAAGTAGGTAACTCCCAAGAAAAACAAACAAACAAACAAACAAATAACCATTCTCTCTTATATCTCCAGGAGTTTAGGAAAACAATATCTCCTTCCCGTCGCATCCACCTCCCTGCCAGGCAGCCAGGACAGGGGTGAGCCAGAGAGCTATTCTCAGGGGGGATATAAAATATCCTGTTTGTTTGTTTTTAAGTTAGAGCCTGACCAACAAAAGTCCATTCATTCTCCTGGGCCTCCAATATCACACTACTACTCTTACTACTGCTCCCCCAGCCCGCGCCCCACATAGGAGGAGGAAGTGTTCCAAGGTTCCCAGCAACTCCCCTATGGGTAAGATCAGAAGTGTTAGAAGGCCCTAAGGGTGCTGACCACAGCAGTCACACTGGGCAGCTGACTGTGCCCAGTGTAGTGCAGAGATCCTCTGGGCAAGGTCACCACATACAGTCCTCTATTTCCCAAACCCCAATCAACTCACAGGTCGGGGGGCCTCTCCCTCTTCTAATCATTATTCAGGGGTGATTCAGCCAAGGTGCCTCAGACCTGGAAAACTCAGTGCCTGAAAAGCTGAGCGAGAGGGAACGCGCCTGCCCACCCACCAGCAGCTCACACACCCGGGCCCCTTGCCAGGCCGGCTCCCTGGTGTGGACTCACAGGGCCTTGCCCACTGCTCTGCGCTGCTGGGAGGAAGCTTAGGGGTGATTTTGTCCACCTGGGCTGGGGTGCTCTCAGCTCCTTATCAGTGCTGAATTTTCCAATAATTCCTGCCACATGCAATGTCCACAGTCCCTCCCTTTTCCTTGATTATTTAAAAGTCACCATCAAAAAACACTCTTTAACAAGAAATCACCCTGCGCGGATGGTACAAGGAGCTGGGCTTCCCTTGGTGTGCACAGTGGGGTTATATGTGCAGGCCCCCGAATCAAAGCCAGGTTTCCCCAGGCTTAAGTGTGCTCATGCATCCTTTGCTGCTCACTTCACAGGGCCACAGGCAAGCTCGCACAGCAGGGGGCCCAGGGGCACTGAGGGGCTGCTGGGGTGGGGTGAGGTGGGCTGTCCCTGACACTGCCGGTCAGACAAGAATGAGAGAAACCCCTTCCCTGCAGTCCGCCGCCCCCTCTGCTGCCCTTCTGCCATGGCTCTGGGTATCAGTGAGGGGGCAGCTGGGAGGGGTGCTGCAGGGTGCTCTTCCAAGCAGGTGCCTGTCACTGAGTCGGAGTGGGGGTGCCTTTAGCTGGCTGGGGTTAAGGCTGACCCACTCAAGAGTTGCATCTACTACCCATGCTGCTGGACAGGGCGAGAGGGACACAGAGGCAAGAAGGAAAGGTTCTGAGGAGAGGGGACACAAGTGAGGTGAGTTGTTAGCGGGAGGGGAGGTTTTCTGCAGGGAGACTGTCCAGAGTTCAAGTCAAAGGCGATTTGGTGATCTCAACCCTGGGGCTTCTTTGGATAGAGGATAAAGGGGGAACCTGGCACAGAAGAGGGGCCCGTGGACAAAGTGGCCACAGACGCTGCCGGGCCAGGATGTCACCTCTGGACACCTCTAGCAGGCAGTATGGGCCAGCGAACCACCCTGCTCGGGTGGAGACCACCAGACTGGCCACTGGGAAAGAGGGGAAGCCAGAGGGGGATGCATTGTACCCCTCCCCAA